CACGATCTCGCGGTCCGTGAGTTCGAGCCCCGCATCAGGCTCTGGGCTGATGCCTCGGAGCCTGGAGCCTGGAGCCTGTTTCCGATTCTGTGTCTCCCTCTCTCTCTGCTCCTCCCCCGTTCATGCTCTGTCTCTCTCTGTCCCAAAAATAAACGTTGAAAAAAAAAAAATTTAAAAAAAAAAAAAAAAAAAGGAAACCCTGCTTTTCTAAGGTCATTCTAGAAGTCAATAGAGTAGTTGAGAATATTTAAAACTGCCTTTTATCACAAGATCAGGTTCCTTTTTCTTACTCCCTAATTTCATTTGTTTCTCTTCCCAAACCACACCCCCCCCTTTTTTTCTTAAATGTTTTCATGGTTTGGACTTGCCAATGCCATCTACAGTATCACAAGTGCTAGCTGTTAGGAGATAAATCCTAAATCTCAGTGGCTTAAAAATTAGAAGTTATCCCTTAATAAAGTCTAAAATGGTCAGGGAAAGGCTTTCAGGGAAAGCCAGGGAAAGGCTTTTTCCAGGCTCCTTTCATTTCATGGTCCCTCTAAAGACTTGGAATCCTTTCCATTCATTTGGCAGATAGAGGTCTATTCAGGGACTGACCAGAGGTCCACAGAGGAAGTTAATGGGACAGGCCTACAAGTGGAGCCCTTCACATTGGTCATATGTCATTAGTTAGCGCTCACTCACATGGCCATGCCTAACTGCAAGGGAGACCTGAGCAATGGAATCTAGCTGTGGCCCTGACAGCAAAATGGGTTTGGTGAAGTCGGCCTCTGCAACAAACTCTAGATTATTCCAACCATAGATAATCGTGATCTAGAGCACAATGTGTAGCGCTCTCCTTTCTTACTCAAAGTTTGCAATAATCTGATGGAATTGGGTATTGTGTCCCATTTAGTAGCCTGAGGTTATATAAAAGCCTGATTGACAAACCAAGATTTGTACCCAGTCCCGACTCCGAAGTCCATTAAATCATGCTGCATTTTTCCAATTAAATCATAATATTAACGTGAGATTAGAACCTGAATGAATTGAGATTAAATTTAAAAGATGATGTAACTGCTGCTTATCAGGAGAGTTGATCTTTCGAGGTTTTTCCAATTTGAATGATGCACTTTTGCAAATTCTCCTGAACTCTTTCTTATTTTAATGTATGGCATAGATGTGAAGACATCATTACAGTCCCTTATACATGAACGGAGAAATATTCACTGTCTTATCCCTTAAGTCTCATTAGTCCTGACAAACTCACACAAATTTGCCTTTCCAGACGGAACATCTTTATATCTCACTTTTTAAAGACATTTTAAATAGTTTCATTTTGCCTTCACAACCCTTTGAACAGTAGAGACATGTCTGCTTATAAATGAATAATAGTTCAATTACTTTTCGCAATGAATGGTGCTAAGCAGTATAAGATTATAATGACTTCTATGTATCTTATAACTACTTCTATAAGACACTTATATACTACATATATACAAAACTTCATTTAATCTTCACCACTTAACAAGTTAAGTGTGTTTATTACCAGTATTTTATTGATGTGGCAATCAAGGCACAGAGGGTTGAGCAAGTTGACTGAGGCAACAAAGTTGAACAGTGAAGGAAATAAAACAGGTCAGGCTACATGAAATTCTCCCAGTAATTCTCCCCAGCTCAAGTTCATAGGTCCTCTTCATTCTTCGTTTTGCCTTTATCCTTGCCATAGATATTCCTATTCCTTGATATACTTATCACTCGGGGCTTTTAGGACTTTCTCTATTCTTGCCTCCCTGCAACCCCATTACACCTTTATTCCATGAACTCAAATTCCTTGATTCGAGTATGTAAAACCTAATACTAAAAAAAAAAAAACAAAAACAAAAAAAAACAAAACCTAATACTTCCTATTGTTTCCTACACACATGCCTTGCTCTTTAAAACATGAAGCAAACGCCTAATTTAACGGTTTCCTAAGGTAAATCCACAATTTATTAATGCATAGAAATTCCTAAACCTCCTCTAAAACAAAAAGGCATATGTTCTACCTACACACATTGTTGAGATTAGAGAAACATCAATTTCCCTTTTAAGTAAGATTTAACAATATCTTCTGTCAACTTTCTGGTGCCATGCCTAGCACAAAAGCAAAGAGAACTTAAAAGGAAAGGGTTTTGAAATAGTTCCTTTGAGTCACTCTCACAAAGAATTTACTTGGGAGTCAAAGAACAGTGACTTTACCATCTCAGAAATATAACCCTGATCAATTTGTTCACCCATTCAGCCTAGCATGAATCTGTCCTGATGCGGAAACGGGGGGGGGGGGGGGGG